TGTAAAGTTAGTGCAAAAATTTTTATTAATTAAATTTCATTTTTAATTAGTAAAAATTTTTGTATTAACTTTACAATCAGAGCAACTCTTTCAGAAAAAATCTAAAAAATCTGAAAAAAATATATGTTAAACTACAACTGACAAACTTTATTTAATATAAAAATAAAAATTATTTCTAATAAAATTATAAATTTTAATATAGAGAGAAAATTTCAATTTTCACTATGTTTTATTAATAAATTTAGTCCCTGATGCATTACTTTTGGCCACCACCATAAGAAAAATGAATATGAATTCTATTATAATCTTTTAAGAATAATTTTTGATTATTATCATTATAATATTCAATATCCAATATATCTAATTCAATCATAATATTCATATCTCTAATATTCAGATTCAATACTAAATGTATGGCTCGTTATTAGTCAGGGTGAAAAATATGTAAATCATTTATTAAATAATGTTAAAATTTATAATAAACGTATTGTATTTTTCATATTAAATTTTTTCATAAGACAAGGGAAGATATTCTAACAGGCAAAGCTTAAAAAGCTTTTGCATTATTGTACATAAAATAATTGAATTTGTAGTCTACAGGAAAGGATATCCAACATTATATAGTAGTTCCAAGAGAGTCACATACGAGAGTTATTTAATGCACACAATTTATATTGTTAAGATTTTGCTTATTCTGAAATTTCAATTTTTATATTTTAAAATATTTAAGAGATAAACGCAGCTGCACAGTAATACAGTAATATGATAATTCATTATTTGCAGAAAATTTATCATACATATGTTTTTAAATTAACTTAAGAAATCTTATATACATATTAATTCAAAAAATTTTGCGGCATTAGTTTTCTAGTTTAGTTAGTGGAAATTTGAGAAACTACAGATTAATATTTAGTATATCACTCTTGTCTTCAACACGTCTGGGTAAACTCAAATTTTATTATCCTTAACAACCTTGTTAGCTTGAGATAAAGGTTTTCATTTGAAAGTCTAAACAAGTGATCACGCAAGAAATTTGTGCTATTCAATCTAAAATTAAAATGCTATACCATCAAATCGTATGAGACTGTATTAAAGGGAGCTGGAATATAATCATGAATCCATGATATCAAGGAGTTGACGAAAATAATAATATATTCGTCAGAATTCAATTTCCTTCTATTACTACTAAAGGACCCACTCAATGCAACTAAAACAATCCAAAATATCATTGAGCTTTCATTGTAGATTTAATACGTTTTAACATGTAAAGAGAATTTTTTTCACGTTGAGCATTTTTTAGTTGGTGATAGAAGACCAGTTATCATAGTAAAATTTTGGGTTTCGTCCGAGTTCACGTGACTCATCAGTTGGCTTTTGCGGAAACTTCGCATTGAAGCAATGCCAATACCCAAGAAATCCTTACTTAGATAATTCTAATTAGATATTTCTGGGGGTAATTAATAATAGAAAGAAACAAATAAAAAAATCCACTTGTCTCTTTCCACGACTCTCCCGTATTTCCATCATCATCTCTATCCAAAGTCTCCGAGATATCCAACGTCTTCTCCACTAGGCTTCTTCCGTACCATAGTGACGGGTTGCTCAAGCCGGCTTGCTTCCGAAATTCTATATCACCTCTAAAATGAAAAAAAAGGCAATACAAGGTGAGACATTTATTTATTTAATTTATTGGTTTAGTTGTTTAATACTTATTTCGCAGCCCAATAATTCGAAGATCTCCAATGTCACTTCCACCAGGCTCGTATCCATCGCATGGTGGCGGGTTGTTCAAGCTGACCTGCTTCCGTAAACCTTAAGCTAGAAAATAAACAAGTCGCAAGCAGCAAATAACATGACAACAAGACAAGCTTTTACCTTCCATTCTGAATCTTTCTAAAGTCAAGCAAGTTAAACACAATCACCATTCTATGAAGAAGTCACGCAGTTTAACACGATATACCATTCCAAGCAGTCAAGCCATAATAAGCAATAGCGTCGCATCTGTTTCAAGAATTCGTCGTGTCAATTTCAAGAAGTCGTCATGTCGTTAAGCAAAGCAACAATAAAAAGTTAAACAAAAGAAGAAACAAAAATCTAGAAAAGATAACTAAAAAAAGCAATTTATTTTATATTTACGATTCTTCTGCTATCAAAATCATAGAATTCATACTACATGTATTATTATGTTATACAGGACAGGCCTCAATCACCGGGGGGATCTGATCGGCATGTTTTTGCTATAGTGGAGAATGCATCAAAATTCATTAAATGTACATGTATATTTCTTCATATTTTCTGATACAAAAGACCATATGATATAATTTCATCCTTCAGTTCATTTCCGTTTATCTTTGCATCATCGGATGTTTTTTGTCAATAAGATAGAACATAGCTATCGCCATCAGCATCATGAAAGGCATTTTCAGATGATATTAGAGAAAACCGATTTTCACAAACAATCCGTTGAAAACTGCGCAAAACATGCTTACAATGATCGTTCAGGACGTTTGGGTGGTTCTGCGGAACTAGTCTTATTTTATCTTCCAGTGATATCATGAACTATTGTTACGGTAATATCCACGCAAAATGAAATTTTTGTAGATTTCAGTTTTTTGAGAAATATGTCAATAATTTTCTTGTAAAACTTTTAACATAAATTTCAACACAATTACTTTCAAAATGAGAAATAAAATGAACAATAATTGTTTTCTTAATAACAATAACAATCGCGATTTTAGTCGCTCGATTCGAGAGAGCCTGGTATCGCCTTCATTGATATATCCAAATATTCGTTCTACTTCTTTTAGTAAGTGCAAAGTTTTCAACTATTCAATTTTGCTAATAACAATCTTCTCGTCCAAGAAATTCTTAATTCGGCTCGGTAACAAGTCAAATTCAAAAGTTAAAAAAATTGGTGGAAGCTTATATTTCATAGATTCTTGAACATATTACTGCAATTAAGCTTATTGCTCAAGCTGTTTTTGGCTAGATTCTCATAAATCTTCTGAGAAAAGTTTTTTAATGGACTAAATTGCATATGTATTCTATATTCATATGCAATTAGAATTATTAGAATTACTGTAACTTTTCCTTTTTATAAGAGTTCTCCCTTTCATATAATTCAGATTGGTGGGTTCTATTAAAGTTTGTAAAATAGCATATTAATTTTTCCATTATCAGAAAAAAACTGAAAGCATGTAATTTTGACAAACTATTAAATAGCAATGAAATCTGAATATATCAGTATTTCACAATACATTTTTTTTTAAATTGTTGCATTATGAATTCTTAATAAATATTATGTGAAAAAGTATAAAAAAACCTTAAGAAAACTAAGTAAAAAAAAAAAGCTAAAATTAGCTAGGCAAACAATCTAATAATACAACCACGCATCATCAAAGTAATTTGCTTGCATCCTTAATTGTATAAATATCTTAACAAATATAATAAACTTTAAAGAAGAATTCGGTAGATTCCAAAATGATATGATAATGATTTAGATCTTATACTTAGTCTGATGCATGCACGCCCGAAAAAGCATGTTTGCAATTGTTCTTACTATATTTCACGTCACCTTTTTAAAATCTTGAATTTTTCACTTATATGTTTTGTACTCGCATAATATAACAATAATCACGATAAAATATATAATTAATCAACAACAAAAATCCCTTATAAATAGCTAGTGTAATTTCTTTTTCGAGGTTCTTTTGTTCCTCCTTACTTCGAGAACCAAGATCCATACATACGTGATAATTTCAACCCTTTAACGTCGTTCATCATTGTTAAATTCATTTTTGCTTTTCTTCATTGCCTTTTTTGATGTGATCATCTCACTCAACTTTTCTCTGCTTATTATTTTCCAACTGCATTCGTTTCCTCATACATAAACAAATTAGCATAAATAAAACACTGGTTGTTTTAGCCAACACGCTAATTTCGTTTGTTTGTGATTATAAATATTGATTCTAAACTCTTCATCTTGATAATTACGTGTCTTTATAACGCAAAGGATCACTCAAAAAATGGGTAAACCATTAAATCTACGTTATCCCGTCACTTATCTAGCAAACTCTCATACTAATCTGAATAACTTCAATAGCATTGATCGTGAATAACGCCAAACACAATGTTCCAAATACTCCGCAGTTCACCGCCGCAATCATGCAAAAAAGTCGTCCATCATTGCTCTTGACTGCACCGTTTCCGGATCCTAGTGAACTGAATTCTGATCAAACTCAATATCAGCAACAATACGAACAAGACACTGATAATAATGATATCATTACCAGTTCTTTGGGATTATCGACCTCCTCCTCTTATCAATTCTTATCGATGGATTTTCCGCAGTCAACATTACACTATGATTTGTCTTCCTCCTTATCTCTTATTATTAATGATAACAACAAAGATAGTTCTTTGACAGAAGAAAATTTGACTCTCCCCGATCCATTTTTACAATGTTCCTCTTTTTTATCCACCGATTCTGAAATATCGACACCATATTATTCTTACGTACCGGAAACACCTTCATCACTCGCAACAACAACAACAGCAATCGCATCTCCTCACTACATTTTAAATGACACCAACGCAGATAATTTCACTCTTATGACAACGTCACATGAGACTCCATCTTCAATCAACAATAATTACACCCCTATTATAAGTTCTTCATCATCAGTTCAAAGACGAAAAAACAAACCTTGCCCATCAAGGAACAAGCATTGTTGTCAATGGCCAGATTGTATTTGGTCATTTAAACGAGCAGAACATTTAAAGCGTCACATGCTTACACATACAGGCGAGCGAAAGTATCGTTGTGATTATCCCGGTTGTAATAAAAGATTCGGTAGATCTGATAATTTCGCGGCACACCGGCGAATTCATCAACGAAACAATCCCCAATTTGTACCAATGAGTCTACAGTTTTGCCGTGATGATAACAAAAACAAAATTAACAATAATAATTTTAACAATAATAGTGCTAAAGTCATTTTCGATAATCAAAAACACAAAGAAAACGGGGAGAAAGTAGAAGCTAATCCTACGGCAACTGAATTCACTGATACTATTACAACTTCTAATTGCAAAGGTAGTATCTCGCAACAACTTCAAACGAATATATATCACGATAATAATTTGATAAAAACTTCACGGCAATCATCTGCTAAATTGGATAATCCACCGAACATTAAATCTCAACCAGACTCATCCAAAAAAATGAGATCCACGAAAAGATCCAATAAAAGAATGAATCCAATTACTCGTCGACCGAGTAAAAAGTTAAACAACAACAACAACAACAACAACAACAATATTTCAGAAAATATTGGAATTGCAACGCCAACATCTCCCGTTACTAACAGCAATAACAAACCATCGTCGTCCTCCGTTGACTATTTCACGATTCGGCCATCTTCTTCTCAATCACACTCCCAAATTTGGTGCAGTGAACAACAAAAATCATCATCGAACAATTATATCGTACCAAAAACTAATTCAAAGCATCAACATTTTCAATTATGCATTCCTGGTGGCGGTATAAAGAATTATCCGTCACCTGCAGCAGAAACATTGAAAAGCCCAGCAAATCTTGATAACATACAGCAGAAAATATGATTCCTACATTATATTAATTATCATTTTTGGGGATCTTAAGATTGAACTATATTCAAACGGATACTCTAAACGTTTAATTGCATGGTTTTGTTATATTTAATCATTTATTTAGTATAATTAATGATGCTGGCCATTATATTGTGCTTAACTTTACTCGGATTAAATTCGTCAATTATGCTATTGATTGAGTATTTTAAATAACCATGTATCTTCGGAAACTTGAAATTGATAAAAATACAGGATCTTTTCAATTCTAGAATTTCCAATACATGAATAATTAACCTTATCTTCCATTCTACGTCTTAATTGATATAGATGTATTGTACATGTATTTGATTTATGCACGATATCGCTCTATCGCAATACGGTATTCTCTGAAGATGGGAAAAATAGAACTCTTTAACTTCCTGCTGTCTATAAAGGGAATACATGAATTTTTGCTCTCTTTATCTTTTGTCCAATTTTATAAAAACAAAAATCGACAAGACGGGGTAAAATTACCCGATGCAGAAAACCAGAATTACGCCGATCATGAAAGCATTGTTTCATGTGATGTTAAATGCAAACTCAAATTTTATGCAATGTCCCATTTTGGAAAAATGATAAAGAGATCATTTGAATCCTTGGTTGACTTTGAATATAAACATCGAGATGAATGTGTATTATATAAAAGTCCAAGATTCGTTCTTTTCGAAAGCAGAAAATTCTTTCTCTTAAATTTTAATTTTCTTAAAGAAAATGAATACTACCGACATCAACACCAATAATTCAACGACTGGGTATAATTTTTCAAATGGCTTAACTAGATACGATAAATTAGTAATCACACATGGTAAAGGTTTTTTAAGGAAAAGTGTCCTAATTTACTAAGTTGTCTACACAAACATATTTATATTCATCAAAGTATGAATCTTATTCTAGCTGTGTTATTATCCATTCCTTTTCTCTTCACCGCTCCAATCACCACTTTCATCGCTCGTTTTGGGAAAACAAGATTACCAACCTCTTGGTTCCGTCTCCATTGGACTATATCATTATTTCTTACAGTACCTTTAACAGCTGCAGGCTTTTTAATTGCTCACTTCGTACAACAAGAACCTAATAGGAAATCAAACTGGGCATTAGTTCCTCATTCGGTAAGAAAATATTTTAAATTCGAAATGTTTGATGGTTATCTTCTCATTCATTAATAGCAATAAAAACAGGTATTTGGTCATATTGCTGGAATTGGGCTTTTTCTTGAAGCTCTTCTTGGATGGATTCATCGTAAACTTCGAAACTCTGATCGTGGGTTTGTTCCATGGTGGACAAAACTGCATAGGTACGTGCGCATGATTAAGCATTCATGTTATTTAATATTCGAAGCGTATTCTTATTTTATAGTCTTTTTATAATAAAGAATTTGGGGATATATTGTATGTTTTTCGGGATTTATCGATATCGGGTTCGGATTTAGATTGTATGAAACTCCGGTTGCGTGGTACATTGCAACCTACATTTGGGTCGCGTTTTTATCTTTAAGTTTCATTTATCTTTATATAAATATTCGGTCGGAATCGCAACCGAAGATTGGGCAAGCCAAAGAGGAACAGAAAAGTGAGCAAGACGAATAGGCATTATTTGTGTATTGGTAAGATCGAAAATCATGTGGTAGGCAAACTTTGTGAATATTTCATTTTATAGTAGTGCTGCCCCTTCCCCTTCTGAGATATAATATGTATTTTTATATTCCCCGATAATATGTATCTATCACGTTGTAAATCATATAATTTCTACTTGCAAGTTTTTTTGAATATTTCTGAATGTTTAAATTAAAATATCTATTATCAATAGAATGAAATTATAAAAAACAAGCTACTTGTTGAAAGTACACAGAGGAAAATGAAACACGCGGGAGGTGGCAACACGATAATATAATTTAAATTGTTTCTATTTGTGTTACAACGAGGCAATTTTATATATAATCTTGTTCTCTAACCTCATCCCAACCGTTAACCTAATACTATAAAATTTTCCGGAATCGACAAAGCCCGAAGAAAGGAATTAATCCAATCATGTGTTTGGAATTTTTTGAGCCACATATTTCTGCGCTTCGAAGAATTTTGATCTTCTTATAGTAACATCAAAAAAGTTTATATTTTTTTAAAAAATATATATAGTAACATATTCATATGTGAAACTGAGTATTTAAAACATAGCTAATAAAAAATAGATGTTATTACACATATAATGAATAGCTCCAATTATTATTACTCTTATTTGTTTCAGAATTTTCATAATTGAAAAATAATTTATTTTCTTTATAAAAACAATATAAATTATAAATATAAGTAAAAATTTGTGCTGAATTAAAGTATTTAATTCAGATTAAATCTGAAATGGTCTGAAATAAATTTAGAAAAGTATATTAAAAATTGAAATTTTAAAAATATTTGATATAATTTAATTTAATATAATATAATTAATATTAACGTTAACGTTAATTTATAATTTTTAATTTGCAGATCGGATATCACCTGATTCAAATGATTAAGTAATTATACTCATTATAGTTTTTTCTTTGTTTTATTTTTCTTAATATTTGTTATAACATAACTCAAAGCCAACAATACTTTGTAAATCTTCTTGACAAAATTTTATTATTTCTAAAATATATTATTTACTTGGAATTAATAGATTTAAAGATAATTAAAAATAAAGTTTTTACTATATCTTATTAACTATATATATATTAGATTTGAACTAAACAAATAATAATTTATAACAACAATATTAAAATAAATTAATTGTCAGAAATCTGACTTTATTTATACTAATAATCTAGAATTTAGTAATATTAAAAGCTTATTTTTAATAAATATATAATTATTTTTAGTTCAATTAAATATTTATTTCTTGAAAATTACTATAATATAAAAATAGGATATATCTTAATAATAATAAAAAAATAAATTATAAAAATTTATTATATAAGAAATTAATAGGTTTATTTATTATTTATATATATATATATCAAGATAAAATATATATTAAATTGATTAAAAATAAAATATTAAATAATATTTAGAAAAAATTAAAAATTCTTATTAAATATAATAGAAAACTCTTTTTAATATTAAATATTCTAATATATAATTCTTATTTTAATTAATAATTCATAAAAAATTATTTATATATATATTAAATAAATAAAATGATAAAAATATACTAAAATATATTTTAATAAGCAGATTAAATCAAAAAAAATCTTTATATAAATATTAAATTAAAAAATTTTATTTTATAAATAATATAATTAAAAAGTAATATTATTAGTTTTTAAAAATATTAAAAAAATTTATTTATTAGATTATGAACTAGTGCAAAAAGATTAATATATTAATAATAATTGCTTCTAATAAAAATTATTCAAATTTTAATTAATCTTTATAATTTTTTTATATTAAATAAATAATAATCTAAATTAACTTTTTATATTATTTTAACTATTCTATTATATTTTAATTTAATAATAAATAAAGTATTACTTTACTAAAAAAAAAATTAAAATAAAATTATTTTTTTTAAAAAAAAATATTTTAAATATTATTATTATCAATTTATAATATTAG